CATCCAAAAAATTCTTAAATGGGATATATTAGGTTCATGACCCAAACTAATTGCAACGGGGAATATTTATGATAATTTGTCGGTCTGAGACGAACTAGCATTGCTGCATGCAAAATGGAGTGACCCCAAATAGAAGTGGGCAGCCTCGTTTTCATGAGTAACGGTCTTGCTATCAATTGCAGACGTTTAATTAAAGACTCTGCAAGACCATTTTGAGTGTGAACATGAGCTACAGGATGTTCTACTTTTATCCCAATTGATAAGCAATAATCATTAAATGCTTGGGATGAAAACTCAGCAGCATTATCAAGTCTAATAGACTTAATTGGATTATCGGGGAATTGCGCCCGTAATCGAATTATTTGTGCCATTAATTTTGCGAACGCGAGGTTGCGTGATGACAATAGGCACACATGAGACCATCTAGAAGATGCGTCTATTAAGACCATAAAGTATCTAAACGACCCACTAGGTGGGTGAATAGGTCCACAAATGTCCCCTTGTATACGTTTCAAAAATGCAGGGGACTCAATTCCAACCTTTGTTGGTGATGGTCTAATAATTAACTTGCCTTGATAACAAGAAGTGCAAGAAAATTCATTAGTCAAAAGAATCTTTAAATTCTTTAATGGATGCCCATTTGAGTTTTCTATAATTCGTCTCATCATAATTGATCCAGGGTGTCCCAATCGATCATACCAAAGTACAAAAGTATTAGAATTAGTAACATTTTGGTTTACAATAGAATGTGCCTCAATTGCACTAATTCTTGTCCAATACAGGCCACAAGACAAAGATGGGAACTTCTCAATAGCCCTTTTCTGGCCAGAGACATTTTTGGTAATGATGAGATATTCAAGATTATTCTCATCTATTATCTCAATATGATATCCATTTCGACGGATATCTTTAAAACTCAACAAGTTCCTCTTTTACTTGNAGAGCCTTCATTTAATTTACTACTACCAGAAATTGTAGTAACATCTGCCTTACACATACTTAAATTAGAAAAATATTTCTTCTCTTTGAATATTGTATGTGTCGTACATGAATCGATTAAACAAATATTTTATAATTGAACTTTGATCCAAGTTTGCTTTGTGAGATATCCATATTTGCTTCCCATTATTTGACATACAAAAGAAATATACGAACAAACATTAGTATTTTCAAAGAAAAAGAAAAGAAAACAAAGTCAAATCAATAGCTCGATATTGGCTTTTAATGTAACTTCAATCAAACTCTAATTATGATACAAATAATTACGTAGGTAAAAATAATGCGATTATAAGTACACTATACGTACATGTTTACATATTTTGTAAAGGGAATTATTATCTTATTTCACGTGTTCTACCCTTACACTATTCTGTCATCCAAAATGTTAGAACATCTCAATCAAGCAACTGTAATATAATTTTGCTAAATCATACAGAAAGAGACGGACAATGAAATCAACTAATTGCCTATCACTTTACGTTAATGAAAATAGCAGAAGCTCTGAAATGGAGTTAGCACGTTGTTTCACAAAATGGAAGAAATCCTCTTCAGTTATACCCAATTTAAAATACAAAAATAAGCATTGCACTACGACGATATAGTAATTATTGAATTATTTAATCAAAACGAATTGATAACATTTCATAAAATAAATAATACTAATGGCTACTACTCATGTAAAGAACTATGGTTACATGATGTTTATTCACTAGCTACTAAGAATAATTAAAAAATAAAAATTAAACTACTCAATCATCTTTAACCACGGATCCATCACCGATCAAGTGGTCTATTTTTCCATCAGGGCGCTCAAAGAAGTCTGCCACATCCAAGTGGGTGATGTCAAAATCATTGTCAGAGACAAAATTGGCTTCAGGGCCTTTATTCTTTAGAGATGCTTGATAAAGCTCAACCAAATGTCTTGGTACACGACAAATATTTGCCCAATGCCCTTTTCCACCGCAAAGATAGCATTCAGTTTCTGAACCATTTGCTTTTGGCTTCTCATCTTTCCCTTTCCACTTTTGGTGGTTATTTCTCTTTGGGGGATGATTAACACCAGGAAAATTTTTTCCTTGTCTACGGCTACGGCCACGGCTACGACCATGTCCACGACCACGACTACGAATAGAGTCACGACCTTTTCCACGCTTAGCATAATGGGAATACACCTCATCCACGTCAGGCAATGGTGTAGACCTAGTGGGTCGATTTTCGTGATTTCTCATGAGCAAGTCATTCTTTCGCTCAGCCACAAGGAGAAGAGAAATCAGCTCAGAGTACTTCTTGAAACCTTTCTCTCTGTACTGCTGTTGCAGAACCATATTGGAGGCATGAAACGTTGTAAACATTTTTTCAAGCATATCATAATCAGTGATAGTATCTCCACAGAGTTTCAATTTAGAAGTAATTCTGAACATCGCAGAATTATATTCAGAAACAGACTTAAAGTCTTGGAGCCTCAGATGAGCCCAATCATATCGTGCTTGTGGAAGAGTGACCAACTTTAAGTTGTCATATTTTTCCTTTAAGCCATTCCACAAAACAAGTGGATCTTTGACTGTGAGATATTCTATTTTCAACCCTTCATCAAGGTGATGGCGCAAGAAAATCAAGGCCATAACACAGTCTTGGGCGGATGCTTTATTTCTGTCTTTAATGGCATCTCCAAGACCTATTGCATCTAAATGGATTTCAGCATCCAACACCCATGTCATATAGTTCTTGCCCGAAATTTCAAGGGCAACGAACTTTCTTTTCATAATGTCAGTCATAACTAAAAAGAGGAGAAAAATTACCTTAATCTTCTCAAAGAGCTTCTTGAGACGGTAGAGTCTCGTGCTGATAACGTGTTATAAACAATAAAAGAAGAAGAAGAATATTGCAGAGCAAAGTAGGGAGAGAGAATTCTTATTGATTTTTAGGATGAATTACAATGGAATAGAACCCTCTATTTATAGGGAGAGGTTGACTTAGCCACCAAGTAATAAACCCTAGGATCTCTCTAAATATGGACATTCACCATAAATAGTATAACAATTTGATTATACTTGTAATTTATGCAAAGCAGTTTATATATATCCTTAGTCAGTAGCTAAGAGCATTATTTTAAGAGGTTAAATTCATCAACTTCTTCAACAACAACAACAACAACAACCCAAAATAATCCCACTTAGTGGGATTTGGGGAGGGTAGTGTGTACGCAGACCTTACCCCTACCCTGGGGTAGAGAGGCTGTTTCCAAATAGACCCCCGGCATCCTTCCCTCCAAGAACTTCCCACCTTGCTCTTGGGGAGACTCGAACTCACAACCTCTTGGTTGGAAGTGTAGGTTGCTTACCATCAGAGCAACCCCTATTGTCTAAATTCATCAACTTATTCAGTTTAAGCATTTGCTAGTAGGGGCTCAACAGTTCTTGTGGCCTAAGGCGAAATCGTATTGAGAGGCCCTTAAATTTATTTTATAATTTTTTTACACTAACAAAAAAATTTACTTTTTAAACAACAAATTAATCATTTAAGACAAAAACATCGAATTAAAAAAAAAAAAAGGAAAAAAGAGCATAAAGAATAAAGTAGTGGATTAGCGGATGTTGAGGTCCATAACTCAAAGTGAAGATTTTGATTTGGCTCTCATCACAATTAAGAAAAAGAAATAAACATACAAAACGTAATAACTTAAGTTTTGAGCATTGACAGTGTCAAAAATATTTACTCATTCTGATCAATTTAAACGATAATATTATAGTTCATTCTATTACTATCTAAACTTAATTATACTGGAGTTCCAGGATAAGTATATTTGAACTCCAGCATATTATACTGGAGTTCCAGGATAAGTATGCTGTAACTCCAGCATAATATGATGGAGTTCCAGGATAAGTATGCTGGAACTCCAGCATAATATACTGGAGCTCCAGCAAAGTATACTAGTCCAGTATAATATGCTGGAAGTTCATACACAAATGCTCGAATCTCCAGTATATTATGCTGGAACTTTTTGTGTGTTGGAGTTCCAGCATAATATGCTGGAAGTTCATACACAGGTGCATCGAACTTCAGTATATTATGCTGGACCGATCTTTGTTGCAGCAAAATAGTGATTATTTTTTATTGACTTGGTAAACGCTAGCTATTTTTGAATGACCAGTCCAAAAACTAACTGAACCGTGCTATTTTTACGATACGTTACCTACCTTTTGAAGCCTTAAACACCATGGGCTTGAAACCAATCTTGTTCAGGCCCTTTCAGTATAATAGCCAGAGTAAAAATCCAAAAACAAGAAAGGACAAAAATAATAAAATATGGTAGTAAGAAATTATCTCTCATGTCCGGTGCAACATGTTCCTCATGCACAGCCTTTGCTATAACTCACACATGCACAGCAACACGTAGCATTTCCTCCTCTTCTTTAGAAGTACACCTCATCAATAATCCCTCTCTCTACAAAATCTCACTCATTTCTCTTTACTCTCATTCATCATTTTCCCCCACACAAAACACAAAGAGAACTATTATCATCACTATTATGGCTGATGTTCGTCATCCCCACCAAATTCAAGTTCATCCACAACACCCTCGTTATGAAGGTGGCGTGAAAACTCTTCTTCCTCAAAGAGGTCCTTCAGCTACCCAAGTTCTAGCCATTGTCACACTTCTTCCTGTCGGGGCGACGCTCTTGGGGATTGCCGGCCTGACCCTCCTCGGGACGATTATAGGTCTTTGCGTTGCTACTCCGGTGTTTTTACTCTTCAGCCCGGTTCTTGTTCCAGCTGCTCTCACTGTTGCGCTAGCTGTCACTGGATTCTTGACTTCAGGTCATTATTCAATTTCCTTCAAGTACTAATTCCTTAGATGTACAAAAAAAATATTTTTAATCCAGTAATACAGCTGGTGTAAAAATTGGGTTTTTTTTTCTATAGCCGAGGAAGTGTATAAAATTTGTATATTTTTTTTATATAACATATAGCATATATATAGACAAAAATATACATTTTTTCAGTTCTTATTTTGAGAGCGGTTTAGGTCGTATGTTTAAATGAAGCCTTCTTAGCATTTTTTTTTAATACAAGGGAAGATTTATTGTAGTGGTGAAGGTGATTTACAAGTAGTTGTCAGTGATAGGCTTTAATAATTAATTAGAGGTGTGGGCATTCTTTCAGTTTCTTCTTGGAAATGTTTAACAATATATTAGTAGTTGTATTTTCTGACATAACTTAAAGCTTTTAGTGTAGGGGCAAATGTTAGTTAAAAAATTGCTTTAGGCTCAATAACTCAGGTGTAGCTTTCTTGATTTTTTTGAGTCGGTCTCATTAGAATTAGTTTGTAATTCTGTCACTTCCTTAGGTGCCTTTGGATTAACGGGGCTGTCATCACTTTCTTGGATTGTCAATTACTTTAAGCAAGGGAGGACTGTTACTGAACAATTGGACTATACAAAGAGGCGGATGCAGGAACGAATGGCAGATGCTGCGGCGCAAGTGGGACAAAAGACTAAGGATGTTGGACAAGCAATCCAGAGCAAAGCTCAGGAAGGAAAAGAAGGTGGCAGGACTTAGATCTTACAGTTTATATCAAGATGGAAATAATAATGTGGAACATGTAGTTTAATTTAGTTGTTTTTTCCAGCTTTGTGAGGTGTAGTAGCGTGCAGTGTATTCTGTTGTGTTGTTAGTTTGTCTTCTGTGTTGTCTTGTTTTTTTTTAAAATGGGAACATTAGTTTGCCTTTCTGTGTTGTCTTTCTTTTTTCTTTCTTTTTCTTGTTTTTGAAAATGGGAACATTAGTTCGCCTCCTGTGTTGTGTCAAGCTATATATATCAATCTATTTATACTACACATTATCTATGAACGTGCGTGAGGACGTTAATAATGGCACATTAATAATGGGACGTTAATAATGGCACGTGATGGTTACGTGTATCTTACCGTTCACTTTTTTGTAGATGATATTTTTTGTGTATTAATCAGAACTCTTGTTGTCAATATTAATATTCCTATTGAAAATATAATATATAGTTGTTCATACAAGAAAATATATTGTAATAAATATAGTTTAATATTTAAGATGTTTGTTTTTGTGCTTTATTTATTAATTGTAAATATAAACATACTTAAAATTATTTTCACATAAATTTAAATGGATGTTGTTTTTTGTTTTTAGTTTCGGAAGACGAAAGTTGAATTCAAGGATAAAAATATACTTAGAAGTATATTAATTAGTATCATAATTTTTTCATGTATTACATTATTGTCAAAACTTTTATATATCATCTATGTGCATTACATAAGCTATTCGGCGGATCTAAGTTTTTTATCTAAGTCTTTTAGTAGCATGATAGGCATTTGTTTTTCCCAAAATTAATATATACGCAATGCAAGATCAATTTTAACTTAGTATATTATATATATGGTGATACTAAACTATGTAAGAATTAATAAACTTGACAACAAACATGTGTAGTAGAAGGCCATTTGGTATAAAGTACTTAAGTATTTTTTTTGGTAGTAATTGTTGTTATCATCTTTTGCTGAGTCAAAAACTGAAAAATATTTTATTTTTACCATAAAATTTCGCAATCAACCTTTTATTTAGTTGATCAATATGTTTATTTATGCTGGCTAAGATACCTTTTAAATTTCTATCAAATAATTTTCGCAAAATATGTTTTAATACAATGATAGAAATATTTAAATGCACTATTATTACGAAATCATCTTTTATTAGATGTTCTTCTTCATTTCCGACACGAAGCAAGAAGTCACCGAATAATGGATATGTTCTTACTTTATATTTCTTGTCACTTGAATTTTTTTCATTTGAGACCATAAGTCTAATCTGGCAGGCTAGTTTTTACAGTCTCTGCTTTCTTCGATTTTGGAACAATTAGTACTTGACAGAATTCACCTTTCAAATCGTTAATTTCTCACCAAACGGTTCATTGATATTCAACATATCTTCAGAACCCCGGGCAATTATTTCGATCGTTTTGACATTTAGCTATAAGTGCTTCATCCCATACTATCAATTTTGCTTTCCTTATAAATTTAGCAACATTACTCTGCTTTGATATATTTGTGCTGGTTATTTTAGTTGTTTGAAGAGGTATATCAAATCTAAAGTGAGTGACCTTATAATAAAATAGTTTATGGTACACCATTTGTTATTATTGCTAAAAGTATCATGCCCTCTTGATTGATATTTGCAAGTAATGCATCACATAGAAATATTATTTCGATTCCGTCGGAGTCATCTACAAAACATAATCTCGCTATAACAAAGTCGACTCTTTATAATATAGTCTTGAAAGCTTGTTCTTGTTCAGAATTTAACTTTGATTGTGCTTCAACAGACAATTGTATGGCCGTTTGATTCTTAATGTTACTAACCTTTTTTAGTTTGTGTTCTAACGCTCTTTTTTTATGGAATAAATTTATGTACTTTAAGATTATTTTTAACTTGAATAAGAATTTTACTCATATGATAAATTTAAAAAATAGTTAAAGTGGATTCTCTTGCTAAATAATAAATTAAAAGATTGATATGACATTTCACTTTTAGATATTTATGTCTGTAGAATCATTATTGGTTTTTAATATTACATGAAAAATTAATTAAGAAAATATTATTTGGTTAGAAAAATAGTTTAAATATAATATAAAAATACATTATCATGGATTTTTTTCTCAATTTCAACACTTTATGGAGTCCATTTAATATTAATTTTATATTTTTTTGCTATTGGACATTATGGAGTGGTAATGTATTGCCAGTACAAAGGATTCTTATAAAATTGACTTTGTTAAACATTTCTGCATCTTTTTAATAAGAATTTAATAGACAAAATTTTATTAATTTTAAAATCTTAAATAATAAAAATTAGCATAGAAGGTATTGTAGTCCAACTAATTGGTAATTGCAGTTATGTCCTTTCCCTATGATTTCTTCCGTTTAATATTTTAGGGCTATTTTGGTATATTAATATTGTATTTATGATTTTGTAATAATACATGCTCTCATTTTTCTAAATAAATTTGGAAAATATAATACATTCTCAAATTAAATTAGTAATAGGACATTAGAATACGTTTTCAAACTAAATTAATAACAGAATTTTTTAAGAAGTATATCCTAAAAGTAATAGGATTACATGACTAAATAATTACTACTTTTTCTAGCAGTGATTACTTCTATGCTAATGGTGATACTAATTGTAGAAATATTTGCCGTAGTAAATTATAAAAATAGAAAAGTATAATTTAATAACCAACTTTTAAATATATTACTTATCAATTTAAATTAAGAATGGCAAATAGTTTGGTATGAAAGAAAATATAGAGGCAAACCTGACATTGTATGATTAAAATATTAGGACAAAGAATACCAAAGTTATCGTGTAGTTTTATCATTAGAAAAAGTAGGATATAGATTATTCTTACGTTTATGCTTTTACATGATTTTGTGTTTTAGTTCATATTTTTAGATATTGTCGATGGTTTTCTCTTTTCGTTTTAAATATTTCATATGAAGTAAATTTTTAATTAACTTTAATTAGACAACTTAAGAAAGTAATTATACTAATATGATTCCTAAAGGTAATTATGTAGGATTCCTAACGTGTAGTATTATATCCTAAAACTAATAGAATTATAAGACTAATATCTAGAATTCCGGTTAAATCCTTCTATTATAAGTTATTATACTTAATATTATAAGGTTATTTTTGTAAACCGATATTATATTCATGCTTTTATAATAACTAGTCTCTATGTTCGTACGATGCACGAGGTATCTTGTGTCAAATATTACAAAACACATTCCAAAAGAATAGATTTTAAATCGCATAAATATTCTAAAATAACATGTTACTAAATCTTATTGAGGTTTTTTCGGTCCATGAATATGTGTGAAGTTCGATAATTAGTTCCTTAAAAAATCATAAAAGGGAAAAAGAATATAATATATAGAATCCAAACTAATTACCTCATTAACAAAAGTTTTGACACAGTCTAAGGATATAGAACTAAATATTCTAAGAATTATGTTTGTTGTAAAATTACTTAAAGAATGCAACAACATTTAATAATTATGGCCGCACTATGTAATGGCGAGTATACTGAAGTCATATCTGTCTTTGTTAAAAAGTTATTTAACAACGGAGAAAACAAAGAATAAAAAGTTATTTTGTCATTTTTGCCTTTCATGACATTACTTTTTTGTTGTACTGCACGCTATCTTATGTTAATTAGTATAAAATTTTATATTTAAATATTAAAAATTCTTAATCACATAAAAAATAAACATAAAATATTTTTTGCCCCTATAGAAATTCTTCAACTCCAATCCTAATCAATCCAATTTCTAGATTATAACTCCTTAAGCTGAAAAATTTAGTAACGATAAAGATATATAAAGCTAAAATATTAAATGAAAAGGAAAAATGTTGAGTAGTATGATATCTAAATTGTAATGGAACACGTTTTGCCACAATTATTTTCCCCGTTAGTTTTATTTGGGGAGACCAAAGATGCCCACTTTAACAAAAAAATAAGAGATATTCTATATTCAATAGTATAGATAAAGGGTAAAAGTACTCTTGCGCCAATCCTTTTATTGGAGTAGTATTTTTCAAGGGAAGAAGATCAATACAAAAAAAAAATATGCTAGGCACAGAAAGACTTATAAATATGATAGGTCTCTATAGTTATCGTAGAGCTTTACTTGGACTATAATCAATATTTTGTAGTGATAGCAGTTTTTGACTTTGTATATTAGATTGCAACTTGGACTTTAGAGTTAATGTTTTGTCATGATTCAACATCAAAAATTCCAAACCAGATTACCTCTATAAACTCTATTAAATTCATATATTCAACAACCATATACAAGAGCGTAAATATGCATAAAAATAGTGCCCAAATATTACAGAATATATTTAAATTTCACATAAGGGAAATATCCGATTTATACGTATTCTCAAATTTATACTTAGTTATGGTAAATTCATGTAACATGACAAAAAGAAGTAACTTGATATAAGCAATTTGAAGAGTATATAAGGGTCAAAGTTAAAGTATAAATTTTCTTTTATACAATATTATACATTATCTTAACAAAAGAAAATCTTAAAATACCAAATCTCTGCAACAAAGTCACAAAGTAAAAAAAGAAAAAGAAAAAGAGCATATATAGAAGAAAAAGAGACAGTAAAACTCCAAACACCATTGTCCAAATTAAAATATTTTCACGGACTTGTTTTGCAATAAGGTGCGGAGGTACATCTTTTACTTCAGAAAAAAAATACATGCTCAGTGCTTATCCCTAAAAGTAAACAAAAGAATAACATGAATCCGAAAATATCAACATATGAATCTGTGATCTTACTTTCAGTAGTAAATACGCTAATAGCAGTCTGCTATGTGAATTTGATCGGCGTAATTGCGCTTTGTTTCCCAAAGTTATTGATATTGAAGTATTCTTCTTCTGTTGTTCATGTGAGATTGGTATGGATTGGAACTTCAAGAGCAAATAGAATATATGTATTCTTGTATAGTCGAAGAATTTGGCCCACCAGCTACATATATCATAAGCCATATTTGATTTGCTTCATCGGCGAGAACAGGTGACGTATTTGTTGGCATTCCAAGTTTTATACTACTTGGATGCTAGAAATAAGTAATGTACAATTAATATAGCATTGTAATATCTTGAATATTACAATTACATCCATCTTTAACTGGCTTTGTTAAACAAATACTTTAGGTATTTAAGGGCATAAAAGTCTATCAATATTATAGGAGTATTCTAGTCGTTCAACATTTAGCATAAATTATTCG